TTTAATTTTCTTGATAGGGAAAGGCGTACCGGAGAAATATGACAACGCTGCAACGGCACACTGTCGCATTTCTCCCACTCCGACTTAATAATATCTCTATGCGATTTAAGGTTGTCGCCCACTAGACCGCGGCGCGACGCGGCGCGGCACCATGTGGAAATTTCTTTTGTCTGCTTGCCATGTATTTAAATGGACCAACGCACATTAGAGCGCGCAGCGCAGAAGCGCTCCACGGAATTTCCGTCAAGAAGTCGGAAGACTTCTCTAGCAACTTTTTTCCGTCTCCCGCGTTTCGGCGCGTTGCAGTGTGCGTACTCACAAGGGAGATAATTTTGCATTCGAGTCTTTTCAGTTGGCTTTTTGACTAGGAACTAGTGATATGTATCAATGGCAGAATTGTATTTTTAAAGGTAAATTAGGCAAATCGATTTTCATAAAGGAATATGATATTTTTTTAGTCTTCCCTCACTAGAGACAGATGGACGAAATGCCTTTCTATCAAAGATTTAATATAATTGAGGGGTGTAGAGGCAAAACTGGCAATCTCCACTTTTTAACAAAAGTGACAATCTCCAATTTTTAAATTCTAATTACCTAAATATATAAAAAAGATCAGGGTTTTTTTGACCACATAACTAATATACACATCAGAATAAATAAGAATTATCAAAAATATTAGTAATTTGTCTCTTCTGAAAAAATATGATGTGTAGATATACCCGGTGTTTTTTCTTCTAAAACCCTCAATTGAGGAGTGCGTAAAATGTTTCCTTTATATTTTGTAATACTGAAAAAAATGATTTTGTCTTTTATTAAATCTGGAAAAACATGGTAAAATTCTCCAAACTTCTTTCTTTTTTGTTAATCGTATGAGTCCAAACTTTTCCTCACCCCTCTTCCTCTGTTAGAAGAGCACAAAAAATACGCTTTCGTCCGTACTTGAACTCATTGCTTTAAAAACTAAACTACAGTAAGTAAAAAACACTTCGACTATAACTAAATAGCGTTGCCGCGCTTCAAAAGCGCGCTATAGTGGGCGCAGTCCCTTCGCAGCCGGAAAAATTGTCTTCCCAGCGCCGCGCCGCGCAGCGGTCTAGTGGGCGACAACCTTTACTTCCACACATGCAAATACCGACCCAAAATTAAGAGTTGCCGGTACGGTATATGAGCTAGCCCCCAGCCTATGACCTAAACATTATTATGTTACAAAAAAAACAATGCAGTTCAACGTACCCTAAAATTTCAAGGAAATCTCTGTTGCATATTAGTCATAATTTTCTTCCCTACATCACGTTAATTCGACCCTACTCATACAGCCTCATGTCTTTAATTTGAAACTTAACAGCGCCAACTCCGCCGACTTGAAGAACTGCATCAAAACCTGATTTGCTTTGAAGTTAGACTCCTTCCAAGTGGAAAGCGAGTTTCATTTTTGCTCGACAAGACGGAGAAAATGCTCATAAGAGTCAATTATTTCATGAAAGTTCCCGTACAATAATAGGAACTTTGTTGGGAACAGGTAAACGCTAAAGGAAATGTATATTTGAGCTACTAGACTCTGTAGTAAAAGAATAATGTCACAGGCATAGTAGATATTTTGCTATTAAAGTTGAAAGAAATATATTATTTCATGTTTGTGACAGTCTGCGAGGTGTTTTTGATAAAATTTATTTATACAGGGTGTCTTGGCAAGTGTTATTGTTTAAAAACTTAGATACAGATCATACCAAATAAACTTTAAGTCACGTGATTAAGCTTGACCGGCACAGCGTTGCCCACTTTTTTATATTTTCTTTTAATCAAAATATTTTAGTAAACAAAAATAAATTAATTATAAATATATAAAAAGTTATTATTTACATCAACGAACCTCACCTTCTTAACAGCAGTTAAGAGACATATAGGGCCAAAATATTCTAATAAAGTTGTCATGAGCTTTTTACGGCTATTAAGGTGTCTTGTACAGGGTGAGTCAACGACAGAGTAAAGTCCATTATCTCATTTGTTTCGAGGTTTACAAAAAAATGTTTAATACAAAAGTTATAGGGAAGGTTAAGATGCATATTTTAAAATTATTACAGAGTATACAGGGCGCTTCAAAAAAGTGTGGCGGATATAACATATGTTTTTTTAAAGGCAACACCCTATTCTTTATTTTATTTTTAGATTCTGCGTAAAATTTTATAACTTTTTTATATATAATGTTATATACCTAAAATTAACAGTTTTTGAAATATTTAAATTTGTTTAAACAAATGTTAAATTGCAGTGTGCTAAAAAATTGCCAGTAGTACCATTGTTTCTGAAGTTGGAATACCAAAACTTGGTATGATAGTTCTATAGAGATTAAAAAGAAGATATATGTTAAGATATTTTAGTTAAATGCTACAGGGTGTGCAAAATATATTTATGAATTTCAACTACTTAAAATTAAGAAATTTAAATTTTTTTAAATGGTACACCCTATATATTATCATTTTTTCTGATAGATTTTACAAAACTTTTCAACTTTTATTAGGTATGTCATATACCTATTTTTATTAGTTCGCGATTTATTCCAATTTTTTCTATTTTTACCCATATTTTTTTAGTTGCCATGACAAAAAGTAATAATTATCACAATTTCATGTCCGTTAAGCAAGTTAAGAACAAAATTTGAATTTTAGTTTAATTTGTTGTAATAAGTATAAATGGTAAAGATAATAGTTACAGATTTTCTTCAAATTAATTAGTCAATGTGACTGATATACGGACAAGCCTGGAAAAACACATTTTTTGGTTCAGTACTATATATTATTAGCAAAGTACTATAAGAATAGATGTATATTATCTAGAAAACATCTTCAGTGTGTAATGGGACGGTTTCGCGGCAGTAGTAAATGGGCTTTATCAAATTTATAAACCAGAATTACTACGAGAAAAAACTTTACTGTATGTCGAAGAAAATTCCTATATCAATAGTCGTTAGCAATTAGGTAATCTAGTATTACGCTAATCTGTGGCTAGAATTAGAATTAGAATTTTTTTTAGAATTTAGAATGAGTGGGAGGGGGGTTAATCACTTCGACCTTACAGATCCATTGTGTCCCCCTTTCTTGAATCATAACTCATCATACAGTCCCAGAGCTTTGACAAAAGCCGGTATCTGGGACGGTTTTATAGAGGGTAGTTCTCCATCTCCAATATCAGTCGTACCAAAATTCATGGCACGAATGGTTGTCGTCTCGGCGCACTCACTGATGAGGTGTACTGGTGTTTCCCCATCTTCCCCACAGAATCTGCATTCGCCGTTTCTTCTTAGTTTCAATCTACTGAGGTGTTCATTGAGGAGACAGTGTCCTGTTAAAAACCCCGTGACAATCCGAAGATTGTTCTTACTCAGACCCAGGAAGATCTGTGATTTTTCTTCATCATAAGCCCTCAGAAACTTCTTCGAGTGTCTTAGACCATTGGAAAATTTCCATTCCAGGTTGCGGATGGAATCTTCCAAGTTCTTGAGTTCCGCCTTGAGTTGGTTACCACTTGGAAAGCAGAACGGTTCTGGTTCAGTTAGTGGAGTGTTCGCTGCTTTCCTAGCTAGATTATTTGCTTTTTCATTGCCTTCTATCCCTTGGTGAGCAGGCACCCAGTGTAGGAGGACTTTGTTTTCTTTGCCTAATTTATTCAGCTTCTCTATGCATTCTTTGACCAATTTCGAATTGATTGATACTGAGTTGATCGCCTTTAACGCTGCTTGACTATCAGACAAGATGGCTATTTCTTGTTTCCGATAGTTCCTATCTAAGATAAGTTGTACGCATCTCTCGATAGCGTAGATTTCTGCCTGTAGGATACTAGGGTAAGTGCCCATTGGTTCGGAGTAAGTAGCTCTCGGCCCAAACACTCCGATCCCTAATCTGTGGCTATTCGCCTCGACGAAAAATCCCAAGTGTCATTTATCATAATATAGAAATACACAAGAAATTCACTACTGCGATTTAGTCTATTTGAGTAAAGTTAATTAATTTTAACTAATACCAGGAATTGTAACTAATTATGAAGCTACTTGTTAAAGGCAAGCAATAAAGAGTTTTGTTTTGTCATGGCAACTATGATTATATAGGGTAATTGTATTAAAAATATGGGTAAAAATAGAAAAAATGGGAATAAATCGCAAACAATTAAAAATAGGTATATGACATACTTAAAAAAAGTTGAAGAGTTTTGTAAAATCTATCAGAAAAAATGATAATATATAGGGTGTCCCATTTAAAAAAATTGAGATTTTTTAATTTTAAGTAGTTGAAATTCAGAAAAATATTTTGAACACCCTGTATCATTTAACTAAAATATCTTTACATATATCTTTTTTTTCATCTCTATAAAACTCTCCTACCAAATTTTGGTACTCCAACATCAGAAACAATAGCACCACTGACAATTTTTTACCACACTGCAATTAAACATTTGTTTAAATAAATTGAAATATTACAAAAACTATTAATTTTAGGTATATAACATTGTATATAAAAAAGTTATGGAATTTTACGCAGAATCTAAAAATAAATTAAAAAATAGGGTGTTGCATTTAAAAAAACATATGTTATAGCCGCCACACTTTTTTGAAGCACCTTGTATACTCTATAATAATTATAAAATGTGTATCTTAACCATCCCTATAACTTTTGTATTAAACATTTTTTTGTAAACCTTGAAACAAATGAGATAATGGACTTTACTCTATCGTTGACTCACCCTGTACACTTCGCACTAAAAGAGGTCGAGTGACCGTTATGTTTTCTCGGTTGAAATCAATTTATATATGTAATGTTTACATCTATTCAGTACATTTTCAAAATAGCATTACTATAAACAAACTAAGAAATTTAGGAATCACTTTTATAAAAACAATTGATAATGATGCGTAAAAACGTAAAAAAATTAATGCAACTAATAGATTTGGATGTAATAAGTTTAATTTTAAAGTATTATATGCTAAAGAAATAGAAGTAGGTACTTACAATGTACGATTAACATGATTCTCTTGCTGACAGATGGTGGTACTCCATTTGAAGCTATGCAAAGGTATGGTCCCATTTGCAAGCGATTCACCTTGCTTATGTTGAGAACAGGACCATCAAAACTCGCTGCTGTAAAAGAAAACAAAATTAAAGGTAGAATTAAAATAAAAGAATGCCATTCATAATTAATTAAATCGTAAAATACCGAATAATTAACCAATTCCTGATTATTACGAATTCAAACACTTATTGATCAATTCGAGGGAACAAAACAAATTATAATTTATAAGCCAATTGTAATCCATTACAATCCAATAGTGAGTTAAAGCTAATTTTAAATTAATAGGTAAATTACTATTGCATTATTTGTTTGAACTAATGTAATGCTTTTCTATTATTGCTAATATTATTTTTGTAATTTTATTCACAATACGCATATTATCATCAAAGGATCTCCACACAAACAGAATAAGTATGTTTTTTTTTTCAAACGTCACAATAGTTTTGCGACAATATAAAAAAGTCATTTTAACACCTAGGCTATAAAATAAAGCACTTTGACGCCTAAGCATAGAAGTACGAAAATATATTATTAAACTGCAGACATACCCATACAGCACGTCCAAATGAAATTACGTTTCTACAAGGGAGACACATGAGAAACAAAATATGTTAAAGTGAACCTAAGTGTTCATCTAGTTCTAACATATACATATGAGATACACGCAGGTTTATATTGATAGAATTGTGTGATACAGTGTTTACTAGTTGTATACCGTATGCACTCAATATCTAAAGATTTTTTTGTAACGTAACAAATAATTATTAAAATGATGAAATCTGGCGTCGGTATATGAGACATACAATGTATAAGTCATATGTATGTGTGATACTTCGTATCATAGTTGTGCCTATAGTACACGCCTTGTAAAAATGTGACGTATACACATACCTAATATAAATATCTATATAGACACTTTGTAATAGTGTACTGTTGTGTCTACATTCTAGCATGAAATGAAGGTGTGCGCACGCGCGGATAGCCTCAGCGTAGATACACCGACCAAGTGTATCTTATGTGTCCTCTCTCCTTTCTCCTTTCTAGGAGTGGTATGTGTTAGCAGCCATTATTGTGTTATCATTCGGAAGCTCTATATAAATGTTCTGTTTGTGTGTAGATTTAAAGAGATTTTAAGGTAAGCACAAGTTTTTAATTAACTGTTACACCTTCCTAAGAGTATTATTAATATTATAGCAGCAACTCTTCCCTTACTCGATACCTAATTTACCAAATTTTGACTCCAATGAATGAAAACTCCAAATATTCTCGTATAATGATAAAGAGGTTAGCTCTGCAATATATTTTTTTTTTTAATTTGGAAATAATAAAAATCTAAATGGACCAGAGAAAGAAAGATTTAAAATTTAAACACTTCAAAGAACTTCTTACACTGATATTCGGTAAGTTATTGATGGATCAATATACAGATATGTTTAATATTCAGTAATCAGTTTCATATAAAATTTAAGGGTGAGATTGTTAATCTGGAGATAAAATACAACAAAGTCCAACAGAGTGCTCGTTAAATGAGTATGCTAACAAACCAACTGCTTGGAGGGAAAAGAGGAGAAAAAAATGACTAAACGAGGTCCACCAAGAACAAATCGTGGCGATATACGAGTGTTTACCATTTTAGTATGTTGTTATACTAGGTACTTATATTTTTAATACATTTTGAATCAAATTCTGTTCTTTTACAGTGTTTTCTTACTTCTGGTTTCTGCAGTGTAAATAATTATTATTATTGTATAAGTGATAATAACAGGTAAGAGGGTGCTATTAATGCACAAACTAATAATCACAGAATTTACTAAAAACTAACATAGAAATAACTTTGAAATTGGTATAATGTGCTTATCAATCAAACTTACTTCTCTGACTGCAGTCACGGGTAATACAGGACTTTTATTGTCACGTTCTCGTTCAAATAGTTTATCAGGGAAGCTACAAGCTCTTTGCTTCGACTGTTTAAATGCTTCGGCATATTTTCAACACACATTTTCAAGAAATGCAATACAAAAACTCGAAAATTTAGTTCTTAAAGGAACTGTCTGTGCTTAAAGTGCAATTTTCAAAAAAAGACTATGAAAATAATCAAAGAAAATTCAACAACAACGCGATATTATACAAAATAATGGCATTAGAAAAATTGTCAAATAATAAAGGACAACAATGCTGAACACTACGCAATGTGACCAACATAGCGATAATAAAAGCGATAATAAGATTTCGGTTTAAACTAATTTTTGCAGCTTTAATCTAAATGAAATACATGTTACAACATTTTTGCCAAAATTTCATTCGACTTTAATGTCAATGTTGATATGATTGATGACGTGCATCGGAAAATATTTTGCGATTACAATAATAACAAGGAATATCGAATCTGATTGGTAATTGCAGCCAAATACAGTTTCTGTTCTGTACATGCTTTTGTCATGTAAATTCCATCCGCTTTCAATTCTTATTGAGTTTAAAATATTCTTTCAATCAAATATTGAAGAGCAAGCAGAATGATCATTTGATGGGTAGTTAATACTTTAGTAAATAAATCCACCTACAGGTTTGACAGTTTTCTCAAAACAAACGAGATAACGGACTTTATGCTTTACTCACCCTATACATTTTAATAAAAATAAATAAACTATAAATCCATTTGTTAAGAAACACTTTTAAATAAAATATAATGATAATAAACAGAGAAAAATAACATAACAAAAAATTTAATTCAAATAACCTTCTTTCCTACAAGAAAAAAAAAACAAATTAACTATCTTTTGTAGGAAAGACTCTTTTGTTTCTGTTCGTCTTTTCCCCGAAGAGAGTTTTGAGGCTCTTTAAAATTTTAAAAGGATCGCTAATTCTGCGACTACGGCCAGAACAGAATAACGAAAAAAGGAAGAGCGGGAAGTAAGAGGGCAGAAAGAAATTTCTCTGCTCGCGGATTAAGTAATAATGTAGTCAGAAAGCGAAATAACCGGCTAATCGGCTTTGGTTGTCGCCAAGAGAGAGCACAGCCTCGCCTAGGATAGTAATAGATACTCGTAATTTCCCAGAAATTCTGATTTTATTTGAATTCTTTGTTAAAAAGTCACTAATTTTCTTTCCCTGTGATAAATATATTCATTCTATCAATCTTTTAATGTCCTGTTTCTTGTTGTCGTGTATGATAAAGATTGATTCTCACTATACCTTCCGTTTCCATTCCATATCGATTCCATATCCGTTCCGTATTTTTTATTGTATTGACGCTATACGTAAGCTTCCATTCCGTATCAGTTCCATACTTTTTATTGTACAATTTATATAATTACCAAAGTTTTATTTTAAAAATTTGTATCTTTTGAAAAAGGTAATAGATATAATAAATAAAAAAGGTAATAGAATAAATAAATATCAGCAAAATTTTAACAGAGCTGGCACAAATGCAAGAACTTGAAAACGCTGTTTCCGATGTGCTTCAGTCCGTCCTCCAAAAAAATGTATGGAAAGGAAAGGATATAGAACGGAAGGGAAACGGAATGCATTGTCCTATTCATTTACATGATATAATGTAATATATATATTTTTTATTTAAACGGAAGGGAGCTGATACGGAAAGTATAGTGAGTATCAACCTTAACACGCATAAAATGTCCATAAAATCGATACATTTACAAACCGCATCAGTACTTAGTGGGTATTACGCTTAGTACTTGAATATACTTTATATAGAGCGGTTATAATATCAAACTATTTTATAAAAATAGGCCCTTTTGATTGTACTAGGACCATTAATGCATATTATATTCCTCGTTTGCGCAACTACTATGCAGAATTACTGACAGAAAACCGACCAGAATTCCAAGCAGTAGAAGATGAGAACAACCTTGCAGGCACTTTAATGATAAGCGAAAGAGAAGTACACCAACGTCTCAAAAGAATGAAAAATGGGCGGACACCAGGTCCTGGTAATATTATAGCGGAATTGTTAAAGTGTGGAACCCAAAGACGGCGCTGGCATCTGGCAGAGCTATTTAACCAGTGCTGCCTGCAAAGTAAACTACCCCGAGAATGGCGAGTGGCTCACATAGTGTCCATCTTTAAAAAGGGAAATCGTAACGACCCCACTTGTTATAGAGGCCTAAGCATTAACAGTTCGGTCAGCAGACTTTTTGGAAAGATGCTACAGGGTAGGCTCAGGGACAGTATTGGTGACAAAATCTCGGAAGACCAAAGCGGATTCACACCGGGGAAATCTTGCACAGATAACCTTTTTGTCCTGCAGCAGGTGATGGAAAAAAAGACAGCAATAGATCAAGAAGTCCATCTAGCATTTATTGATTTGGAGAAAGCGTACGACTCTATTCCCCGCAGCAAGATATGTGAAGTCTTGAATATCTTAGAAGTAGATAGACCTTTGCTTAAGATAATAAAAGAGCTATATAAAGAAAATGAATCGTACGTTAAGATAGGACACAGGCTATCTTATCCAATTAATACCACAAAAGGGTTGCGACAAGGATGCAGCTTATCTCCTCTGATCTTCAAGGCTTACGTCGAAGTAGCCCTTAGGGAATGGAAGACGAAATATCAAGGTATGGGAATACCCATTGAGGACAACACACTATTTATCCTGAGCTTTGCAGATGATCAGTCGTGATTGCGCAGGACTCGTACGATCTAGAGTTCATGACTAAGAGGCTTTATCAAGAATACAACAAATGAGGACTTCAGGTTAGTCTAAAGAAGACCGAATACCTAGCTGTCAATTCCAACGCAAATTCATTAATGATAACGTCCAGATTCAACAAGTCGACAAATTTAAATACCTGGGTGCTACTATCAAAAACGAGGGTTTGGGCAAAGTAGAAATACAAACCCGAGAGCAAACAAGATATTGGATGTCTTAACAGCCTCTGGTGGGACCGAAACTTGTCTGCAACAACTAAAAAGAGACCTGGAAGAACATTGGTGGAGTCAGTTTTTTGCTATGGTTCAGAGCTATGGACTCTGAATGCAGACGCGAAGCGCAAAATCCAAGTTGTTGAAATGGACTGCCTTAGAAGAAGTGCAGGTATATCTAGGA